TATATCTCCTTCTTGCCCCCTCCCTCCCCCGACATAGATAGCTAGATAGATACAAGTGTACTTAAGGAAAATAGCAAACCTTGTCATCTGGATGAAAGAAATATCATCCTAATGAAAGCCTGGTTTTTCCTTTATCAATGTTTGAGATGCCTGATTCTGCCAATTTCCCTAGTTGACAATATGACTTTAATTTATTTAGTTGAGTGAAATTAGACCAATAGTCTTTCTGAATGTGATAGTTGATAATTGTGATTCTTTGCTCGTTCAATTCGTGCCATCACACTCTGGCTTTAGAATCTGCCGAACAGATCTAAGCGAAAAATAGAAAAAAGTGTCTGGATTTCAATTGAATACCCTTTTTCTTTGTTCCAGGTACAATCACTATAGAATGACGTTTTCTTTCCTGTACTTTTTTGTTTGACTTTCCCTATTTGATCTAGTAAGGAAAAAGGCAGACCGCTTACCACAAACAGAAGATCAATATCGCATAGAAGACCTGATATCGTTCTATTAGAGATACTTATTCAGGTTGTAATACTTCCTTATAGTGAATGAAATAGCCTTTTAACTAAATAGATATGGGCATAGAGAGAATCCTGAACTATAGGAAAAAAGGAGAGCCATTTACCTACGGAAGGAAAGGAACAAGCAAAAGTTGAACTCTACCTATCTATTTAGAAAGTGAAAGTTCTTGCAGGTGTGACAGTATGAGTAGACGGTGCTCTTCTCTTTACGGGTTCATATTTTGCTAAGAGAGCACTAAAAGAAAAGAACCAAGAAACACAACAGCATAGGAACCACGAGACCCCTGATATACCGCGGTTTCACAGTATTATTAATACTTTTTCCTTAAGTTTAGTGTGTCCAAAAGCCTTTTTGTGCTAATTTTTATATAAGTTTCTCCTTATTTGCAGGAAAATTGTCCAAAGATGAATGCGGAGGTTTTTGAGTGAAGAAATGCAGAAGAGACCACCTACGGAGCTTGTGACGGTCCGTCATGCTTGTGACGATCCGTAGGTGGCAGCGTAGTGCAATTGCTGAAGGAAGATGGAGAAGTCTGACCAAGTGTGGTGTTACGGAAAACGTGACGGACCGTCGTAGCCATGACGGTCCGTCCTGCAGGTTCGTCATGAAGATCAGAGAAGTAGCCCCAGTACCCATATTCCAAGAGTTCAAGTGTTTTGGAACGGAGCCCCTCGAACCGTTGTGCTCGTAACGATCCGTCATACCTACCGTCGAGGGTAATGAAGAGAGAAGCAGAAGAAATTTCATCAAGTATGGGATGACGGAGTCCATGACGGTCCATCGTGACCACGATGATCCGTCGCGATATCCGTCGATCCAGCCGCGTTTTTGACAGATTTGCAGCAAATAGAGTCCGTGTTTAATAAGGTTTTTATTTTCTATAAATAGTTCGAAAAACCTCATTTTTGAGGTTAGACTCTGGATTATTTGGTTAAACTCTGGATCATTTTTAGACCTTTGAATATTGGGAGACTCTTGATTATTTTGTAGACTCTTTGAGAGATTATTGATTATCTTGAGACTTTTATCATTGATTGCTGGTGACTTTTGCTGATTAATCAAGTGAACTTTCGGATTTTACTCTTTCTCATCGAAGTAAGTGCATGAATTCTTGTATCACATATTTGAATATTGTAATTATGACTATGAGTAACTAAACTCCATATCTAGGGTTGTGGGAACCATAGGTCAATAATGAGGTAAAACCTAACTAAAATAACAATTCTAGAATAATGTCTTGCATGTATTGATAATTCTTTCGTTTAGAAGTCTTTTTAACGGATGACCAACGTTAGAACTTGCCTTAATGCTACTTGCCGGACCAAGGAGGTAGATAATAGGAAAAGAATTATCAACATAGATTTAGTGTATACTATCTAATAGGCTAGTATTGATTGGTACGAGGTAATAACTTAGTCAAATATCGAATACGATGCTTAATATGAGGTAAAGATAAGGGTTAGGATAGCAACACACGTAGCCGGACCAAGGTGCGGAGTGAAATTTTCTAGATGTCAGACCAAAGATTTAGAAATACATAACTTATCACTTTGCATGCAAGATACTAGGAAAGAATTGTTATAGTTAGACTTATCAAGTTATGAACCTGTGGGGAACACGTGATCCCTAGTTACTTTGATTAATTGATTAAACTCCAACATTCGAAGCTGTTAGTTGTATCCTTTTATTTCGCTAGTTATTTTCATTTATTTAGGAATAGAAACCCCTCTTTTTATCATTTTTGCTTTCCAAGGAAGTAATTGACTGAACAATGGTAGTAATAAATTGAAGTTAAGTCTAAACTATTTTCTTCGTAGGAACGATTTCAACCTCACTAGTTGGGTTATTTACTTGACACGACCACTTTACTTCTTATTTGAGAAGTATGTTTGAGCGTATCAACCCCCTAAATTTAGGCAAACTCTTATCTTTTGATTAAATGAGAAGATGAAAAGGTATTTTATTCCAATCGATCTATTGCCACCTATACATAGATCAGCATATATCCATCCAAACACAACTTAGATTTTTTTCTTTAAATGAAAGATACTTTGTCCCTGGGACATGAATCGTCTAAACAAAGGAAATGGACATTTATCAAGCAATAAGAAATAAGAGAAATCTTTTTCCACATATTCCATCTATTTAAAACATAAAGAATCACGAGAACATGAAGAGGAGAATTTGATCTATGCTAGATATATCATTGGCTCAAATATTTTATATTTTTCAATTATTCACACAAATTTGATGTCATAGAAAATAGGGATAAGACAAAAGACCTCCTAGACTATGAATGGAATCTCAAAGAAACATTAAGCTAAGACCCTATTACCTCCGACCCAATTTTTGTGTCATTTTGTACATTTTTTAAGCTTACGTGGCTCCAAACATCTCCCATATGTCTCAACTACGTGGAGTAATGGAGTGTGCCATGTAAGACAAAAATTATAAAATTACAAAAAAAAGAATTTTTTTTTTGGGGGGGGGAGGGGGGGGGGTATAGGACCTTAGTTTAGTTAGAGTGTATTTTTGAGATCTCGATTATAGTCTAGGGGGTACTTGTGTTTTATCCCTAAAAATAGGGAATAACATAGTTGGTTGAGTCTGCATACCTATTTTTTCACACCGTTCGATCTTCAAATATAATTTATTTTTCAATTTTTCACTCATGATACTTATAGACAATATTTTTATGTCCAGACACAACTTCAACCTTCAAATACTTTTTTTAAACTTCAAAAACTATTTTTTTTCCCTTTCAAATATCAACTATTTCATGTCCAAACTTCTATTTCACATCATTTCAGAAAATATTATAATAAACATATAAGGAATATATTTAATTGATTTACTAAATATTGACCTATAAAATCGTAGTTAAATTGAAGAAAATCTAACCGAAAATTACAGCCTTGATATTTTTCACTTTGCCACTATAAATTCATCACCTACTCTTTTATTTCTCTTTGTCCCTTAGTTTTTCCAATTTCAATACATTTTCTTCTGAGGTATTCATAAATTTCTTTTCTCTCTTGCCTCTAACTTTTTTTTTGTTTTCTAATATAAATTTTGTCGAACTTTCTTTTTTGGGTGGTTCATCAGAAACCTTCTATGTATTTTTCTTAATTTCTTTGAATGATTAATGTACATTGGTTGATTTTGTAGGTTTTATAATTTTTGAGTTATTATTTTGGAAAAAAGATAAATATATTTCCAAACTATCGTAAATGATATGCATATATCCCCCGTCATACTTTTAGGACATTGGTGCCTCTGCCATCTAAAAACTAGTATATAACATTTATACTAATGCACATACACATGTCATAATCTAATCCACCGACTTGATATTTATTAAATTTCGTATCAATGGATAAAATTGTGTCACGTGTATCCATTTATCCTTCCGTTAGAGTGAACGACATATATGCTCAAGTTTTTGGACAACAACGACACCAATATCCCAAAAGTATGATAGAGGATATTTGCATACCATTTCGATAGTTCAAGAGGTATTTTGTCCTTTTTCCCTATTTTTTTTCTAAATTATTATTTGATGTTGCATTGTTTTATCAATCTTGAATTTGTAATACTTTTTTCTTACATTTGATAATTTAGAACTTTTATCCAATTCTATGATACTTCCTCTTGTTACTGTTGTATCAAATTTTATTTCTTAGTAGATTTTACTTGGGGAAAAAACCACAAAAATAGTTGTGATTTTTCGATAATACTTTTGTTTTTGATTTGCTAAGAAAGAGAAATATTACAAAAATATGTTCATTAAAATTTTATTATATTTATATATATATATATACAACACATATATGTCATCTAGTCTAAATAAAAGATATATCCCAGGGAAAGGTTTCACACTTTCTCCCTAACTTTCTTTTCTTATACAAAATTTATTACCATTTACCTTGAATCTAGTATATAAAACCAAAAAAGGGATGGGGTCAACTATAAAAGGCAAGGTCACAATAACTACAATATAAACAACTTAGATCTAGAAAAAAGGGAATGGAGAAGACGAGTTTGAGGTTTTGAGAGAGTTCGGAGTTTTCCGATCAATCTTTGATTAGATATCCAATGTCACTTTTTTATTTGATTTACAAAGACAATTGAGTTTTAAGTTCATCTTATTTTCTCCAATATATCCTTTATTAAAAATATATAAAATTGTTTCTTTGTGTTTCAATGTGAAATCTTAGTTTTACAACTGAGTTGTTAACTAAAAAAATCAGTTAATCTTTTCATATGACCTATGAAAAAGAACTCTATTTTTTTAATTGAAATTTTATCGTACCTTTTATTAATAACTCATATGAAAAAATAAATATAAAATAAAAATTCATTTGGGCCTAAAGCCCAAATCAAAGCAACATTACATGGATATAGGAGACCAGCCCATCCAATCCGCTCCCTCTCATTTAAATATCTCCCTTAAGATTAGGGTTTTTATTTTCGCCCCACAATCTTCATTTTCCCAAACGACCTCTACACCTACACAATGTTCACACAGTGGTTGAACAATACAGTCCACCTACTCATTTTACATATCATCTATGTCTTTAGGTTGATCATCCTGTGTCCTTGACCATCAGGTAACAATACAAAATACTCTTTTCTCTATGTTTTTCTATTTTCGCTATTTCGTGCAACTGACCTTTTTGCCCTTATATGTGCTCTCTGGTAGAATTACTCGTGTTCTTGATGTTTTGTAAATGGAAACGATCTACGGGATGAAAAATAAATTTGTTAATTTTTTCATTTATAAAATTTTTGGCATTCTTAATTATTATTATTATTATTTATAAAAATGTAGAAGTGTTTGTTGTGTTGATATGGTTATTACCAATGGGTGTTAAAGTTGGATTTAAAAATTATTTTTGAAGCTTGAGATGAAAAAGCTTTGCTCCCGAGTTCACTTTCATACATTGAGATTCATCATATTTAGTGATTATTTATGGAGATAAATTTTTTGAAATAAAGTTAGTTAAATTTTTGAGTTTAAGTCTGATGTGTTGTCTGATTTAATTCATGTTTAGGTTGCTTCTCTGTTTGCAATGATATGAGAATATCCATGATTTGTTTAAATTGATTTATCATTGGATAAATAAGTCTTGAATAAAACTTAATTTATTCCACAAATTAGAGATCTCCTTGACTGTAAAGCATATATACTAGTGTATTCCATATGGGTTCAGGGGTGTAATTCAAAGCATGGATAGTATTTTTTGGGGCCTAGACCTATGTTTTAGGCCCTATTAATAAATTTGAAAAAAGTTATATATGATACGGTTCTTGTATTTTTGATGATGTAAAATTGTGTAAATGCTTGAAAAATGTAAAAGATTTGAATCAATTATGTCTAGCGTAGAATAGATTTCCTTTTGTTTGATGTTTTTATTAATTTTTGTTTAAATAGATTAGAAATGTGTAAAACATTGTTTCTCATGTCTAATATATTGTTTGAAGAATGTTCATTTATTTTATTAAATATTCAAATAATTTTTTAGTTTCTTAGATAGGTATATGCTAGGTTTAGGTACAAATAGATGGATTGGATTAAGACCTGTCTTTTGTTCTCCTCTCATCAGAAGAAAAGGAGGTTTCCTAAATATTCTACCTTATAGATTGGGGATCCAAAAAACGTTATAAAAAAATACAATAATAAAGAGTTAAAAGAAAGGAACAACTGAATCAAGATAAAATTATTGAAGTTCTTAATTTGATCAAGAAGTGCTCTAATAGATTTGTCGTACAAAAAAAATCAAGATGCACATCAATTAAACATGAGATCCCTAAAATTATTCCTTTTTAGTTTATTTTATTGCTTTCATAGGTTATTTGGATAAGGATCTAGATAATATAGATCGATTAATCATTTATTTAAAAAAGTCATACCATAACGGTAATACAATTGATCAATTCAGTATAACATAAATAAAACTTTTCGGAACTTTCTAGTTATCAATAATGAGTTTTTCATCAATTATTCTTTAGTTATTTTGATACTTTGTTGTTGAGACGTACATCAAAATTTAATTATATTACTATCATTCTTATTTGTTTGATAAAGATTATCAAATACTATTTTAATTACTTGTTTAATATATATTTTGTGATATTTCAATACTTATATTAGTTGAAGTGGGTTAATGTACTTTTATATGAAAATAACACTCCTAGTTAATTTTAATCTAGAGAATCTCTTTTTCTTGCTTCTTTTGCAGATTAATTAGAGTTTATTTACAAAATAGAACCATTTTGTGTTATATTGTTAAATTGGCTGCCAAACTATGCAATCTGCTTGATAGCTTGATGTTCATATCTCCAAGATTGTTGCTGACAGAAGCAAGCATACCAACAGAAGATGTTGCTGTCACGGTAGTTCCTTCGACACTAGTTGATAACTTGTTAGCTGGTAGAGTCTTTACTAGGTTTGCAATAAGTAACGGTGTTAAATAGGCTCTTTCTTGATTTAGTGCTGCAATATTTGATGGAGAGTACATAATATGCAGGGTTTGCTGCAATGTTACTTGGTTGTACATAATTTGTGGGGTATGCATCAGTTAGAGAACTATATTTTCTTAAAGGCGAATTCCTATCTTTATGGGTAACATGATTATAAGTCATTTGTGAGACCTTTTTCATGGAATCATATGCAACTTGATAGTATGTTGTTTGTGGTGCATCGACTTATTGAGGTTGATTGGACTCTGGTGGAAATGAAGAAAATCCACATATGGTATGGTTTTAAAGTTCACACATCATATTATTAGTGGCATATCCTCTCCACTAGAGTCCGATACACATCATAATATTAAATAACAGATAGTATTAAATAAATAGTATAAAATAATATTAGTATTTACTGTGTACTAATCCTAGTTTATTAAATACTATCTGTTATTAATTATGTCAATGCACCATACATAATATCCTATCAAGCTTCATATGATGCAATGTCATCCATGGAAAGGTTTCATATATGAACTATAATCATGTTACTAGAGAAAATATGGTCTGAGTGATGCATACGCCATAAATACTGTTCATCCAAGTAATACTGCAGCATACCTCGTGAATTGTGAGCACCAAAGCGATACTGCAGCACTAGCCCAATAAAGGTCTATTTTACGCCTCAACTTATTGCAATCCTAATAAAGATGCTATCAAATAAAATCTCAACCATCATTTCTCAACGTACATAAATGTTAGCTCAGTTCCCGGTTCATCAGCATATTCAAGGGAAGCTAAAACAAAGTTAGGCTCAGCAAACACGATTACTTTTTGATATGCCATTTTCGATTTAATATACTTTATTCCCAAAAGAAAACATTTCTCAAAGGGTTTCTTGAATGTGGCATAGTACAACTATACCTCAATAGAAAGCTCGTTCAGTTGACAACTCATTTCTCAAAGCATTTAAATAGTAAACCCGACCGAAGAGTTTTGGAAATAATTGCATAAATGAATTAGGGGATTTCTACGAAACTGCTCAACACCAGTTCTAGCTTGAATTTTGAGTTCGAGGTTTTGACAAACTTGTTGTTAGTTTTCCTCAATTGTAAGCTAGTTTAGTCGACAAATCATTTCTCAAAACACTTAAATAGTGAACCCTTGAATCTATGGTACCTAGTAGCTTGGTATCATAGGCTGACTAAGCTTGGAAAGTAAACACATAATGTAAAGCAAGTAATAAATATTATATCAAGGAATCTGAGGAAAGGAACAATAGCGATAAAACATAAAACGAAAAGATAAAAGTAAACCAATTAATTACAAACCAAATTGGACTCCTATAAATCCATATGCTAAGGTACATTCGTGCATAAGTGAAATGAAAATAACCCAAACGGACCTTCATAAGATTGATGAGTACACATGAGAGCTCAAGTTATTCCTATTTAAGACTAGATATATTCCGTACTGGAGAGACCGAATCCCAGACCCAAACCGTAACTAAGGCATCCCAAAGAGCCCAATAGGACTATATTGACAGGACTCAGACCCAACTAATAGCAAAGCGTCACGACTAAAACTATGGCTAACATATTGGTTATCCCTCAACTAGACTAAGTGACATGTTTGGGATTGAACCGGGGCTGAAAGAACAATCAATACTCGAACCTTATTGAAACACTATGGAAATCCCATAACTTTCTGTTTACTGACATAAAGAGAAACAATTGATCGAAACCCTACCCAGAGTCACAAATGACCCCTACCCACGGTGAGTGGCACCCATACTAACCATCTAGCAGGATAAGCAACTTCCAACTATCCTGTAAATTGGAAACCAACTTATCATCTAAGAGAACAATAAAAAACAATAAAACTATAAAAAAATATATTGTCATACGACAACTATGTGGAAATAACCCCTATAAACTGAAAGTGGTTGTACAAAACTCTAAATAGTCAAAACAGGGGATGCAAAAGTAGAATCAATAATCTACAAATGCCTGATTTTGAAAAGATGGACAAAGGTATAGAGAACAGTCTATAGCAGCCCGGAAGAATTAGCACACCCTTTGATTCAAATGTCATTTTTCTCAAAATTGAGGTCTCGAAGCACCCGTCTGAATATGCCCTATACTTAACAAAGAAAGAGCAAGTGTTATTTTAGTACACAAAAATCATGTACTGGTAGGATCATCGACTAGTCCCATGATATAAATATATACACGAAACCAAAATAAATAATATAAGTCAACATATATACTAACAAGTCAGAAACGACATAGACTCACAACCACATATCTTGACTTAACAAACAAATGAAATGTGTCCCACAGATCACAACAAAACATACCAGTTCTCTTGTGGAACCTATACACGAACTATTACTGTACCATCGTGGTTAACAAGCCAACCGTTATGAAATTCCATACCAGGTGTCATACTCGAGCTAACCACTAGTGAACTTATTGTTCTGGCGTGGTACCCAAGGCAATCAACAATCACAAACAACATGTACAATCAGAATCACAATGAACAACCACACTTGAAGCCACAATTGAATTAAACTTGTTTATTATAAGAGATTATCAACATGATGTTATTTCATATTCACCTGTTATGTTTCCTCAACTCACAGGTGGTGCATCTTAATGTCTACCTTTTTCCACTGATCAAACCATGTTTTGAGTTGATAACCAGCTAGCTCAACTCTCTCAATGTTAGCAACATGCATAACCTCGAACACCTTTTTCAGTTCCTCAGTGAAGTTCTCTCGATCCTCAGTAGTTCTCGAACTATTAAAGCTTGGGGGATTCATCCTTATAGCCTCACGGAACTCAGGTTGCAATTCAGGTGCATTGGGTAACTCTTGTTCCTGATGTTCAACATTCCTTCTAGCTGGATGATCTCTTGATGCTATTCGTCGAGGAAGATTATATGAAAACACACGCAAGCACGAGTCAGAGAAAAACTTTTAGAGCTAAATTCTAATACACGAATGTAATATGAAAGTAGTGAAGAATTTACTAAATGTCGCAGGCTTCTAATTATAGATGTGGCGCACTACACATTATAAACACGACTCTAAAGACATGAATACTCTTCGCCAGGATCAAGATGGTTCTCCTGATGTAGTCACTGGTACGTACGAGTCTTTGATCTTGATGTTTATGTATTGTTATATCTAGGGGTTACTCTTTCTTTTATAACTTGGTACATAGTAATCCAATTTAGCGTTTGTCCAGAACTCTCTTAGAAACTTTCTCAGTCTCTACTGCAGTCGATGACCCAGTTATTGTTAGACAGGTATACATAATTTGCCCTGTCATATTCTCTTAGAAAGTCACCTCAGCAGACCCTGTAGAGTTAGAAATGGTAGACTTTGATGTCATTGTAGCCATGGATTAGTTACATTCCTATTATGCCTCAGTCGATTGTAGAATTAGGATTGTTCCCTTTCAGTTTCCAAATGAACCAATCTTAGAATGGAAGGGTAGTAGTTTAGCTCCTATGGGACAATTCATTTCTTACCTTAAGGCTAGAAAGATAATCTCTAAGGGTTATGTCTATCATTTAGTTCGGTTAAGGATTCTAGATCTAAAACCCCAACTCTTAAGTCAGTTCCATTACTCAATCAATTTCCAGAAGTATTTCCAGAAGATCTTCCTGGAGTCTCTCTCAAAAAGGAATTGACTTTGGAATCGATCTCCTTTCATATACCAAGTCTATTTATATTCCTCCTTAGGGAATGTCTCCAGATGAGCTTAAAGAATTGAAAGAGAAGTTAAAATACCTTCTAGATAAGGACTTCATCAGACCTATTATTTCTCCATGGGATGCACTATTATTGTTCGTAAAGAAGAAAAATGGTTCTCTCAGAATGTGCATTGACTATAGACAGTTGAACAAGGTCACAATCAAGAATAAGTATCCCATTCCCCAGATTGATTACTTGTTTGACCAACTTCAGAGTGCTAGTCACTTCTCAAAGATAGACCTTACATGGGGTTATTGTTAGCTCAGAGCTGAGAAAGTGACATTTTGAAACAGCTTTCGGAACTCGCTATGGTCATTATGAATTTGTAGTTATGCCATTTTTATTAGCCAATGCTCCTGTAGCTTCATGTATTTGATGAACAAAGTGTTCAAACAATACTTGGATATGTTCATTATTTTCTTTATTGATGATATCCTCATTTAGTCTAGGAATGAGGAAGAACATGCGAGTCATTTGAGAATTGTTCTGCAGACTCTCAAAGATTGCCAGTTATTCGTAATGTTTAGAAAATGTGAGTTCTGGTTGTAATCTTTTGCTTCTTTGGTCATATTGTATCTAGCGAGGGGATCTAATTGGATTCATAGAAGATAGAAGTAGTGAAATAATGGCCCAGACCTACCTCTACTACAGATATTAAATTTTCTTAGGTCTAATGGGTTATTACAGAAGGTTCCTGAAAGGATTTTCATCCATAGACTCACCATTGATTAGGTTGACTTAGAAGATGGTCAAATTTCAATGGTCATATGATTGTGAGAAAAACTTTGCAGATTTGAAAACTAGATTAATTACAAGTCCTATATTGATTCTTCCAGAGGGTGCAGATGTTTATGTGATCTATTGTGATCCATCTAGAGTTGGCGTAGGTTGCGTGTTGATGCAGTGAGATAAGTTTATAGCCTACACTTCTAGACAATTTAAGGTTCATAAGAAGAACTATCCAACTCATTTCCTCGAGCTTGCAACAGTGGTGTTTGCACTCAAGGTCTGGAGACACTATTTGTATGGTGTTCATGTATATGTCTTCACTAACCATAAGAGCCTTCAGTATGTGTTTACCTAGAAAGAGTTGAATCTTCGCCAGAGGAGATGGATTGAGTTCCATAAAGATTATGATATGAGTGTGCATTAGCATCTTGTTAAGGCGAATGTAGTAGCAGATGCTCGTAGTATATTATGTATGGGTACTGTAGCCCCTATTGAGAAAGAAAGGAAGGAACTAGTGAAGGATATTCACAAGCTTGCTTGCTTGGGAGTTCGCCTGATGAGTATATCAGACATTGGTGTAACAATTCAGAATGGGGCATAATATTCTTTGGTAGTGGAGGTTAAGGAAAAGCAAGACAACGATCCAATCTTGCTTGAACTTAAGGGTGCAGTCCATAATCAAATAGTGGAGGTTTTGTCCCAAGAGAGAGATGATGTACTTTGCTACCAGGGTAGATTGTGTGTTCATGATGTGGGCGAGTGAAGACAACATATTCTTGTAGAAGTCCATAAATCCATATATTCTATTTATCCAGGTGCCACTATGATATACCGTGATCTGGGGAAGTGTGTTGGTAGAATGACATGACGAGGGATATAGCAGATTTTGTGAGTAACTAACCCAATTGTCAGCAAGTCAAGGTAGAATATCAGAAACCATGGGGTTTGACTCAATAGATCGACATTCCTACTTGGAAGTGGGAAGTGATCAATATGGATTTCATCACATGGTTACCGCGTACAAACATCATGACTCCATTTGGGTGATAATTGATAGGATGACTAAGTCTTCTCGCTTTTTGGTGGTCAAGACTACAACTTCGATAGAGGACTAAGCCAAGCTTTACATTAATGAAATTGTGATGTTGCATGGGGTTCCATTGTCTATCATCTCATATAGAGGACCTCAGTTTACCCATTATTTGTAAAAGTCATTTCAGAAGGGTCTTGGTACTCAGGTTAACCTTAGCACATCATTTCATCTGCAGATGGATGGAAAGTCAGAGCGTACCATTCAAACCCTAGAGGATATGTTGAGAGCTTGTGTGATCGATTTCAGGGTAGTTGGGATGATCACCTTCCTATTATTGATTTCGCCTACAACAATAGCTACCATTCTAACATTTAGATGGACCCTTAGAAGTCTCTGTATGGGCGTAGATGTAGATATCCGGTTGGTTGGTTTGAAATAGGTGAAGCAACTTTAATAGGACCAGATTCAATTCTTTTATGTTATGGAGAAAGTGCAACTCATTAGAGATAGACTTAAGATAGCCTAAAGGGAGTGTTCTACTCTTTCTCCTTAAACTTTCTTTATCTTACCCTTAATCTAGTCTATAAAACCAAAAAATGGTGGGGGCAACTATAGAAGGGAAGGTCACAATAGCTAAAATATAGAAAAGTCTAAATCTAGAAAAAAATAGATTGGAAAAGGCAAGTTTGAGGCTTTGAGAGGGTTTAAAGGTTTCCCATCAATCTTCGATTAGAAATCCAATTTCGCTTTTTTGTTTGATTTGCAGAGGCATTTGAGTTTTAACTTCGACATGATTCTCATTTTGCCAATAGCACCTTTATTCGAAATATGTAAAAAAATCTTTGTGTGAATGTGAATCCTAGTTTTACGACTGAGCTGTTAACTAAAAAATCAGTCTATCGCTTCATATGACCTATGAAAAAGAAATCTACTTTTAATTAAAAAAATTTAGGGCCTTTTATTAATTACTCTAATGGAAAAAAATTATAAAATTCAACTACATTACATGGATATAGGAGACCAGCGCTGGTCCACTCCCTCTCCTTTAAATATCTCCCTTCAGATTAGAGTTTTTATTAACGCCCCACACTCTTTATTTTCTCAAACCCTACACACCTGCACAACGCCTGCATTGTGGTTTAACAAGAAACTCCGCCTCCTCTTTTGTATATCATCAACTTCCTTGGTTATCCGGTACAATACAAAGTACTTTTTTTCTCTTTGTTTTCTCTTTTTGTTGTTTTGTGCAACGAAGTATTTTTGCCCTTAGTTGTGCTCTCCTGTACAATGGTTAGTGCTCTTGATGTTTTGCAAGTGGAAACTATCTATGAGATGAAAAATAATTTGTTAATGGATTCATTTATGAAACGTTTTAACATTCTTAATTGTTATTATTTTTTATAAATTAAGAGGTGTTTGTTGTGTTGATATGTTTATTACGAATGGGTGTTAAAGATAAATTGAAAATTATTTCTAAGGCTTGAGATGGAAAATTTTTGCTCTTGAGTTCACTTTCATACGTTGAACTTTATTATGTTTAGTGATTATTTATGGCGATAAAAATTTGAAATAAATCTAGTTAAATTATTGAGTTTAAGTTTGATGTGTTCTTTGTTTTTATCCATATTTAGTTTGGCTTCTTTGTTTGCAAAATGATCCGAAAAATAAAATGTGTTATATCTTGATTTGTTTAAACTGACTTATCATTGGAGAAATAAGTGTTGAACAAAACCTAATTTAAATCACAATTAGAGAACTTTTTGGTCGTAAATCATGTGTTCCTATTGAAATTTCCTCAAATACATACTAGTTTATTCCATTTGGGTTGAGGGTGTATTTTCGAAGCATGGATAATATTTTTGGGACCTATACCAATGCTTTAAGCCCTATTAATAAATGTGAGAAGAGTTAGATATGACACGATTCCCCTATCTTTGATGACGTAATTGTGTGAATGCTCGAAAAATGTAAAAGATACGAGTCAATCCTATGTCTAGCGCATAACATATTCCCTTTTGATTGATGTTATTATTATTATTTTTCTTTAAACATATGGAAAATGTGAAAAATATTGTATCTCATGTCTAATTGTTTGACGAATGTTCATTTGTTTTATGTAGCATGACTCATGCCCTAGGGATAACAATATCCCACATTGAAACAAAATTAAGTTAAAAATTCTTAGTTTTTTTCGATGGTTATATGCTAGATGTAGGTAGAAATAGATGGATTAGATTAAGAGCTCTCTTTTCTTCTTCTCTTTTCAAAAGAAAAGGAGATCTCCTAATTACTACACTATAGAACAGGAACCCAAAGAACGTTATAAAAAACACAAACACAAAAAAATCAAAATAAAAGAATAATTGAGTCAAGATAGATTATCATATAAAAAAAAAGGAAATTCAAGATGCACATCTACTTAAAGATGGGATATCCCAAAAATTACTCCTTTTAATTTTATTTTTATTGCTTTCATAGGTTATTTAAATGGATAAGGATCTAGAGAACATAGATCCATTCAATCATTTGATAAAAAATATCATCGCATAAGGGTAATACTGTTGATCAATTCAGTATAACATAAATGAAACTTTTTGAAATACTTCTAATTATCTTCAATCTGTTATTCATCCATTATTCTTTAGTTATTTTGATATTTTTTGTTGAGACGTACGTCAAAATTTAATAATATTACTAGCATTCTTATTTGTTTCATAAAAATTATCAAATGCTAATTCATTTACTTCTTTAATATATATTTGTGATATTTTATACTTGTATTAGTTGAACTAGGTTTTTGTACTACTTTTAATGAAAATAACTAATTACTAGTTTGTAATCTACAAACTATCTCAACTATTTACTTTTATCTTCATATATTAAATTACGAAGCTACTTTAATAAAAAAAATTTATAATTTTGTTAAGACAAGAATGAGAGATCACTAAAGGACAAATTTAAGATATTGGTAGTTTTATTTTATCTCCTTAATTTCTATAATTGAAATAGAAAATATTAAGATGTTGTTCAAAGCTAACATATTTTAAAACTCCATAAAAAGTATTGTAATTCACAATAATTAACAATTTAAAACACCTAGAAAGTATTTGAAAAAATTATCATGAGAAAAAAAATTCCTTGATTGTCCAAATTAATAGTAACAAAGAAAACAAGGTATGTAATCTTACCGTCATGTGTTAAAGGACGAGGAACCTTTAATATATATATTTTTTACTTCTGTTAAAATAAAAATAGGAAAACATTAGAAAAAACATGATAAAGCAATATTTCTTTTGTCTCCTTAATTTTCATTATCAGTGTGTTGTTCCAATCTAGCATCAACATGATTTCTTCATAGATAGTGATATTTAATATTACCCTGTGGATGAAAGTAAAAAAAAACGTTTGATATGTAAGCTTTACAAATGGTCCCTCACTCTTTTTATTTTTTATTTTTTTGCTTCTTAAACAGATTAATTAGAGATTATTGACAAAATGGAACCATCTTGTGTAAATTGCTTCCAAACTATACCATCTGCTCGGTATCTTAATGTTCATATTTCCCAGACTGTTGCAGACCAGAAGCAGGCATATTAGAAGAAGCTCCTTCTATCACGGTAGTTCCTTCAGCGGTACTTGATAATTTGTTCGCTCTTAGAATTTTTGATAGGATTGCAGCAAGTTCATGAACCAGGTTCTTGTTAAATTTGCAGAGATAGATATCTTGCTTAAGGGAAGAAAAACTACGACCTACACTAGTAGGAGTTTTCACCAAAACTTCACCAACTCAAAAAAGAAACCTTAGTTACAACTCTATAATCAAAGGGACTAGCTCTAGTACCTCTACTCAACAACTTACTCTAACTATTCAATGATTAACTATTATCAAAAACTATAATCTCGAAGAAGTCAAACCCACTTCTTGTTACAATTCTCTCAAATTCTCTTTCATACTTGGAACAATTATCAGTAAAACGATATTCTAAGATGAAACAATCAAACTATTCTTTAGAAAGTAAACCCAACTCTAGTTCTTCTTTCTTTTGCCTTCTTGATCTCTTTAGTCGTTCTTCCCTTGCTGGAAAATCTCTCGATTGTAGATTGCAAAAACCAATTTTTCCTTCTTGAAATTATCCTATTATAGAGGTGGATTAAACCCTAGTTGACTACTACAAGGAAAGTGATACTTTAGTATTCCTTTTCCGTATAGGATTCCTTTCCCTTTTTTTCCTTATTTGTCGGTGTTTATGTTTAACATGTTTTCCTTCTTTTAATCTATATGTGTAGTTCCTTCCCGCAAATTTATCACAGTGTCGGTACATGCTCGTGAACTTGGTTCATTTTTTCATGCTTGTGAACCTGGTTCATTTTGTCATCATCAAAAGTATATTCAAAATATTGTCAAGGCATCAATTTCCCCCTTTTCGATGATGATAAATACACTCCTTCACTGCAAATGTTTTCTGCAATAAAGCAGTACAACCAACAAACAAAAACAACTTCTCCCTTTTGACACATAAAAAATAAGCATGAAGATAAGATACACAACTTGAACAAATGAAAGAACAAAATTTAAAGATATTAGTCATCCAAACAAGAAACAGAGAGAGCACCAGGGCAAAGGCATAGAGGCACAATAAAAAATGGAAGCACGTCCATTAATTCCAGCATGGACACCCACATATTATCACAGCGACATACAAAATACAATAATTATAACCATTGTCTTAAAAGAAGCAAAAAGAGAACCAAAAGGAACAAGGATTGGATTTAAGTGTGAGAAAGAGGAGGAGGTGGGGTTGGAGGGTTGTGAGAGGATGCTAGGAGTTGTAACACACGATCATCATGAGCATTATTTTCTTGCTCCTGGAGCAGGTGGTCCTTCAACCTGGTCACTTCTCCCTACGACTCAACTAGAGCAGTCTAAAAAGTCTCCTTTTCATCTTGAAGCGTTGCGTTTTGGTACTTAGCAGCATGTAGATCATTGTTAGGACCGAATATAAGCAGGTTTAAATGCGGAAGCTAGCAAAGCAAACCTCAAAAGACCACGAGTAAGAAGACAACGAGAAATATACCAAAAGACACAAAGATTTAACGTGGTTCGGTCAATCGACCTACGTCCACAAAGGAGATGAGCAATTCACTATAAATATGAGAGTACAAAATACAGAGAGAAACAACCTCAACCAATTCACTCATAATACATGGGAGGTTCATACAAGTGATAACGTATCAAGCTTGTGACCCATAAATTCTCCCCCTAACCAAAACTCTCAAAGCCCTTAAGACTACATTGTGAATGCTGATTAAGTTAGAAGGAACATGCCTCTATTAATAGAGTCCTAAACCTTTTCCTAAAAGAAAAGGATTTTTCAATCCAAAACCTTTTCATACAAGGAAAACCTATTTATGGTAAGAAATTTAGGGCAAATAAAACCCAACAATCATTGCAGAGGATAAAAATTGGTCCAGAAGCCCCAGGCACACGTCCAGGAGCCTGATTATCAACAAGTATACTTGAACATTCAGTGAGGGTGGACCTAGTGATCATAGCCTTTTTGTTAAGTGGGTGAACTTCTCCAAGAGGCACCCCAAAAGCTTTGAACACCAAGGTAAGTAAGTTCTCAAAGGCCAACTGATAAGGATCAGGTTTAGGATCAACTAACCTTGCGATGTGCTGAATCATCAAAGAGGGCCAAGCAATGGGCTCTTCTTGCTCCAGTGCATTTGCTATCCTCATATCCCCCAATGAAGCTTCATGACGCCTCTTCCCTCTTGGCATAATCCCTTTGTGCACTATCTTATACAATAGTTCGTGAAAGGGTTCCATTTCACCTTTAATCACCTTCCTAGGCCGTGTAGGGACTCGCCCTTGATTGAATTTGGATGTCAGCATAAAATTTTAATATTTCTTCCATAACTACTCAACCATCTTAATAGTCGAATCATAGAAGATGTCCCCAATCGAACATGCTCAAACACCACTTCCATCCCATTTCACATAAGAGGTTGAAATAGTGTCCTCTAACGCATTAAGATTTACATAGAACTCAACAACGTCATTTTCATACACCAACAGTGAAGTATCAAGAAACATATCTACCCATCCCTGAAACTAGAGTAGCCTACGTAACTTTTGAACTACGATGAATTACCTAACATAAGGATCAAATGTCCCACCCTTAAGAATCGCTTTAGACCCAAAATACCTCTCCTTTCCCATTTTCAAGAACTTGTCCATATTTTTACTACTTCATTGGGAAAGGGATATAATTCAGATGGTATAGATGCAGGAGCCTCATCAAGGATGGAGGAGAGACATGAAGAAGTGCAATGCAAAAGAATGGGCTTCTTTCTGGAGTCCTTGAGTTGTGAAATATGAATAGCTTGAACTAAGAGGAAGTGAAGTAATACTTGCACAATTTCCCGGTATTCATTGAATACTTCACACGTAACACTGCTTATTATTTTTCTAACACGTCTCATATTTGTAATCAATATGGCTTGATTCGGTGGCCTCATTGAGTTAGGCCTGACTAGAGATGTGTGTGAAAGGAACCTTACAGATGGTACAATTTATGGCAACATGTTTATGAGGTATACTGAAGATATTTTGATGGAGTTGACTTAGTAGGATATCGTTAAGGTGAAGATGTGGTGAGGCGGTGGGATTAGAGCTAGAGGGTTTGGGGAAAGAGGGTTTAGTGACTAGTGGGGTGGGAGGAATGGAGGCTTCTGTGGTGAGTGGTGGAGATAAAGAGTATAGGGGAGCTCAGGTTAAAAAAAAGAGATTAAGATTATGGATTTACGATGCATATGGAGAAAGCGAAGGGGTGAAGGTTCCCTAGGGGAAAAATTGGACAAGAGAGATATGATTGAGTAGAGCCGAAGATGGCTGACAACATAAAAGGGATTGGTCAGTGGGGGTGGGGGTGGGGTTCACTCTCCCATGAGGAAATGCCTAAGATGATACTAGAAGTGAAGAGTTTTCCTATGAGAAAGTAGAGTCCTCATTTTCGCAAGTTTCACACTCAACTATTTCTCGTTCTCATTCACATACCTAAATTATCACTCCCCTTATGTTAAAATATACCTGTGGATAAACTTTACTTTCGCACATAAAAAAGACAGACAATATCAATCAAACAAGTATTGAATTAGGTCAATTTTTATTATCCTACATGAGATCATATAATAAATTAATGATAGAGATTGTTATTATAATTAAATTGGATAGATATCCTACTGAACCTTACATTCATACTAAAAACAACTACGGAAAAACAAAGATTAAGAGATTCTAGTTATGGGCCTAGCAAAAGAAAAATTGGGATAGGATTCTATAGGATCTCCCCCCCTAAATGCAACCTAGCTATAAATCTGATGTCTAATTCAAACAAATAACAGATAATATTAAAATAGAAAAAAGGAAAGTGTATTACCTTTGTTGAGCGTCGACTTGAGAGCTCGAGTTGACAAACTTGTTCAGGTTCCACCTTTTTCTCAATGAATCAAAAAGAAAAGGAAGGAAAAAGAATTTAAACTATGAGCGGATATTTTTACAACTTAAATTTTTCCATTTTGGGGGTGTGAAAACCATTGAAAACAATGAATGGGTCGGGTTAAAATCGTATGAAACAGGATAAATTAAGATTTAATGGTCAAATTTAACACATATAAATTATCACATTTCTGTAAGTTTCATATACTTCATCTATCCATTGTTTAATTTATCTACCTAACGTATCATTCCCTTTGTATTAAAACACACCTTGATGTTGACTTGGCCAAATATTTATTCCCGACCCGCAATAGGCGCATGTAGGCCAACTCATTATCAAGGTGTGCTTTAACATAAAGGGAGTGATAGATTTGGTAGTTAATTTAAAATGGATAGATGAAGTATGAAACTCGCTGAAATATGATAATTTATGTTTGTTTTGACCATTGGCTCTTAATTTGTCCTATTTCATACGTTTTAACCCGGCCAATTCATTGTTTTCATATGATTTTCAAACCACAAAAAGGAGAAAAGTTGGGTTGTAAAAAATTCGTTCATAGTTCAAATGTTGCTTCCTTCCCCGCATTTTCAATTCAAGGAGAAAAGATGGAACTCGGACAAGTTCGTCAACTCGAGTTTTCAAGTCGGCGCTCAACAAAGGTAATGCACTTTCCTTTTCTATTTTATTTTAAGATTATGTGTTATTTTTTAAATTCAACATTAGATTTTGTAGCTAAATTGCATTTATGAATTACATGATCTTTCTTTTTGCATTGTTGTCTTTATTGTGAGTTTAAGGTTCAGTAGGATATCCATATAATTTAATTATCATAAAAGTCTCTTTCATGTATATATTTTACTATCTCATGTAGGCAATAATAAAAATTGACCTAATTCATACTTGTTTGATTGATATTAAATGTCTTTGTCTTTTTTATATGTGTGAAACTAAAGGTTATTCACTCAGCGTTGAGGTGTGTTATAACACAAAGGGAATGGTAGTTTAGGTAGGTAAAACAGAACAAAAAATAGTTGAGGTATGGAACTCGCAAAAAAGTGATGGCTTCGTTGTTGCTTTAACAAGTTACTCTAAAAAAGCCAAGGACCATATGAGATTTCTCATTAGAAACATAAGGCGTGCGTAGCCCAGCTAAGTATCGAGGTGTGTTTTGACACAAAGAGAGTGATACTTTAGATAGGTAAATGGACCAATGGGTAGTTAAGGACTGAAACTCGCGAAAATGTGATAATTTAGGTGTGTTTTGACAATTAACTCGTACAATATTATCAAAGGTTGAAGGACTTGTGTCTTAGGTCACAAGTTAAAAACTATGAGAAGTGAACTAAGTCCAGTATTTAAGTGGAGAACGGTAGAGGGGTGGGCCATCATTCACGAGTTTCAAAGGTTTTTGTTGGTCAAGAGGTCGGATCTAGATATATTTCTCGTTCATTGAAAAAGAACATCAAAAGAATCTTGGAACCACTAGATGTAGATCTTTTGGTGTGATAATGAAAGTCAAACTATGTTAGAGTTTAGTTCATTCCTTCAATTAGCATTGAATCCTTCAATTGTGCCTTTTCTGATTCGGTTGCAACAGTCAGAGTTAAGAGCGGAATGGCATGTATCTAAGGCACAAGACACATACTGTCAGGACCGGAGACTACCCTCTGTCATTCTTAGTCTAAAGGGTGATCATTACACACCCATACTAGCAAGTATTTCTAGGACTTAGGGATGGCTACTAAAGGTAACGGGTGAACCTTCATTCCAAAATTTGTTCGATGCTAAGTAAAATTCCCAATGTAAAATGTTGATAAACCACAAACTTTGATAATCTAATAATACTAAATGATGTTGATAATAATTAAGAGTAGCTCATGAATACTGATAATTTGATAATAAATGTGAGACACTTATCTAAAAGCATCTTAAATCGGGAAAACTGATAATTTGAGGTATGCAACTAAAATAGTATTGTTCTGTCACATGAAATTAACAATGTTCCAAGGGTTCTTGAAAATATATTTAGAAATAATGAATGATAGTCTGAAAACACATAATTAAACTACTCATGAAGAGGAATGGAAAATATCATGGAATTCATGTTTTTCATAAAACTCTAAGCCTTGTAGAAATCATGAACTGAGAAACTTGGTTTTCTTTGGGACTCAATGGGTGAAAAAATATCCATTGATGAAATCCCACATACCTTGAAAGAATACACTACCTGAAATTTAATTTTGAGACTTGAAGATGAAGAACCATGGTTCTTGGTTGGGAGGAGCCTTGAATGCAAAGAATTTGATTTCTTAGTATTAGGACGTGAATGGGGATGTTTAGGTCAATTAATTTCCCTTAATCCTACTTAGAATAGGTAAAAAACGACATAGTATATGGATTAAAAGAGTTGGAAAAAAACAAAATGACCCTCAGAGAAAACTGAAATTGGCAGGTCTTACGAGGGAATCAATGGTAGGTGTTTCAATTCACGGACCAAGGACCCCTATCTATAGAAATCTTTCTGAAATATTTGGTCTCTAAAGTTGATCTAGATAGTCTTTACAGTCTATGGTTCAATGTTCGTAAAAATAGGGAAAATCAAGTTTCAAGACTTCAACTCAGCCTATCTATGGCCCGTAAAAGGTTTTATGACTCGTAAAACTGAGGCTAAATGTCAAGTTTCAGTACTTTGATTTACGGACCAATCTACTACTCGCAAATGTGATTACGTCCCTTAGACTAGACTCGTAAGACTCAAACATGAAATTCCAATCTATGAAATTTAATATACGGATCAAATCTACTGTCTTGAGTTCCTTTTACGGCCCTTAGATGGTGTTCGTAAAACTTAGAATTTTCTGCAGACTTCCATTTTTTACTTTTCATGGTATTGTCTAAATTTAAAAACCTCTGAGGTGTTGTTACACCTACACAGTTGCTCGAGCACAATTTAGAGCTGAAAAATTTATTATGACTAAAGATCCTGACTTGGCTTTGTATGCAGTGGTATGGCTACATAGACTAAAAGTGGTCAGTTAATCACTCTTCATAAAAAAATTACATGGATTATGTAGAAAACTATACGGTGTATATAGGTCAAAACATCACGTGGATTACTCTTAACGAAATTATTGGCTTTGCCGCTGTTTGTACATTAATCTTACTTACAAAAACAGATTGTAATGAAGTACTATTTCTATTCTCATTGAGATCTTCAACTGCTGATAATAGGAGTTCTCGAATTGTAGCAACCACTAGAGAACATAAATTCTACCTTGCTTCTGCTAAGTTTGACAATGTATAGCATAGCCATCCCTCGATTGCAATTAGTCTTTTAAATCCCTTGATAGTTGTTTAGAAAGGGCTTCAGAATGCATAGAGTTCTTCTGTTGACTTGATGTATGTTACTTAAGAGGCAATAAGATTTATACAAATAGCAACTCGAGTTATTACACTTGGAGTTTCTTGGTATTCCACTTTTGTTACTATTATATGTTTCTTGCACTTCGATTATTGTATTATTTTGTTGTAGTTACTAATTCTTTTTTAGTATGTTCAATCATGTCTTCTTAAGTATTTTGTTTTGGCTTTGTCATTCCTATTGTTTTCTTTTTCCACTGATTTATAATGCTTTTACTTGAGCCGAAGGTCTATCAGAAATATCCTCTCTACCTCCCCGCTTGCAATGTATGTTGTTGTTCATGTCGAATAGTAGACAATTGTGCTAGTACCTTAACATTTGTGTTTTTGATGTCATTTGAGGAACAACAAGAATCCTTTTTCTTGCTAATTTATGCGATTCATCTTAGTTCTTATAAGCTTTACAGCTATTTCAATGAAGTTGCTTTTACGATAACTCAAGTATGACAAACGTCTATTAACTAATTACTGTGGATTACTTGAATGTGATCTTACTTCCTTTGAATTTGGAAGTTTTTATGTCATACCGAAACCTAGGATTGTCTTGTATGCCATTTCTCTTGTACTCATTGAACAGAGTCAGAAATTGTTTTTAACATGAGAAAGTTGGTACGGCAAGTTCATTTGCGCTTAGCTCACACATCCAGTGTTGTATTCAACTATTATCTAATTCATCCCTTTTCTTTTCAGGTATGATTGCACAAACAGCAGTAGAAACAGTTTGAATGCTCAGATTGGCGTATTTTGCATTATTTAAGCCTCCAACTCCAAAAAAATTGGTTCACCAGATTGTCCCCCGGTGACTTCGCCGAGGGTTCAATTAGTGATGGGAGATATTTAGCCTAAAAAAAGGGGTGGTGTTGTCAAGGAGAAGGCAAAGCACATCATCATTATTTTTCATGGCTTCGATAGTTCTAAAAACTTGATGTTACCATTATCTGAAGTATGAAAACTTTTATAATTTCATATTTAGCATCAATATCAAGTTTTCTTGCTCCTGCAATAAGTTTGAAACTCTGAAAAGTCTTGCTGAGATCAATTGTCTGGCTTTCAACCATATTACAAAGTGCAAGCAAACTTGGACATAACATACATGATAGATACTAAAATGAATACGCTAAATATGGAGTTTTAAAAGTTTTCATACTTGGGATATCGGCAACCTCAAGTCTTTGCACTATCAAGTCCCTGAATAGAATGAACTTGTGATTTTCCTTCTTCTTGGCAACGCAACCCTCTTTGTAGGCTACATATCTCCCATCAGTGAGTTGGACCCTTGTGGAAGTCACCGGAGGACAATCTGGTGAGCCACAAACATTTGGAGGGGGGAGGTTTAAGTAATGTCAAATAAGCCCATCCGAGCATTCCAAGATCATGATATTGAATCCAAGGGATCTTCTCTTCTAGATAACAATTGAGTTCGCGTGCAATAAGTCTGTCATAGAGTCCTTGCCAAAGTTGGACCGAACCTTTGTTATCTAGAAAAAGGAATTACCAATCCATTGGAGCAAAATCACAATTTTCAAGCTAACTATCAAGTCATGATGCAAAGATTCAAACTCGCCTTAATTTCATGCCTTCTCCTGGACAAAGACATAGTTCCAGAATTATGACAAACATAATGGTTAGCAAATACTATCTATGTTAGTGCAACATTAGATGTTTTGGGGGGTGGAAAAGTTACATTATATATACAAAGTAAATATGTACATCTTTTTATGTATATAGTAGAGATATTGACAGATTTGTTAATTCACAATGATAGTTATTCTGAAACCATATTAAGGGAACTTTTCACTAGTTAACGGTGAGCTTCGGAGCAACACTAACGTTGTCTCTGTGTGACCTATAGGCCACGTGGAAGAAACCATGTACTTGAACCAGAGTAAGATGCCCATATCACGTCCGTTATAAGGTGCATCCCTTTCACCAACGTTGCTAACGTGGATGCTTTGTGCACCTTGCTTCCCCTTTTGCATGTATGGTAACTTGAAAGAAACTTAATGCAACAACATTTGTGATAAATATCAATATATATTACTCTCTCATTCTCAACTTAGAGATACAGTTGGAGTTTGGAGAATCGTTCAAAAAATTTTATGGCTTTTAAGTATTTTATTTTGTTAATTATTATGAATTATAGTACTTTTCACATAATTTTCAAATGGTACATATCTCTCTCTCTCTTTAAGTTTCTTGCAAGTTACCATCTTATCCTCAAATACATGCAATTTACGTGGCACGGATAGAATTTAAAGAATCAACCAAATTTTATTAGTTTTTTCAAATAATTCAAGTTTTTAATTATTGAGATTTATAGGGGTTTTACGTCATTTTCAAAATATTATTTATTACTTTTTTGTCTCAATTTATGTGGTATTAGACTCAAGCAATTTTTTTATGTGTCTTCTAAAATTTAAATATTATAATTTGCTAATTATAGTGATTTGTAGATATTTTATATTTAATTGGCAAATATCCACAAAGAATTAAAAAAATAAGATAAACAAATTAAAAATGAAAAAATATATAAATTACACAAATGACCTTGGCTAAAAGCAGGCTTGTCGACCAAGAAGTGTCTACTCCTAGAATTCTCTATATAGTAGTAATGAGGTGACAATTTACTATTTATATACTCCTTTGTTCAAGGTTCTCTTTGTTCTTTTTTAGAATGCATTAGCGGAATGAAATCAAATTTTCATGCTCAATTTTGAATTAGAAAGGTTTTAAGGGTCATGCGTCAAATTAGGAGTAACATCTTAGTCCTTGGTACCACATTAGCTCAACCTTTATACCATGGAAAGGTATACTGATTGTTTTTATGGGGATTATACATCAAACTTTATCTTTAGCTCACATGGTTATATGTCTGTCATTAGTACCTCCACAATCTAGTCTTAGATCAGTGCATTGACCTTATATTTATTTATTCCAATTTAGTACCCATCAATTGCATGTTGATTTACTTGGTCATTGCATGAGTTCATAGTTTTTAGTTTCATGTTTAGTTCAACATCTCAAACTTATCATGCTTAGTTTATTTTATCATGGTTTATATCTCATACTTAGTACATTCAAAGTACTGACCGCATATTTGTTATGCTATATTATTTTATAATACAGGTTCGATACTTAACATCCATCCCACGGTTAGTACGACTTTTAATTAGCTCAGTAGAACTTTTGTTAAGTCCTTAATTTTCGAGTACAACCATTATATTTATTTCAATTATTTAGTCTTTCAGTTTTTAGACAATTATAGTTAGCTGGGGGGTTTTCCTAGTAACTCATCTAAGCAGAGACTTTCAATAATATTGTTAGATATTAGTATAGACCATCATTCAAGAAAATAATGTACAATATTACAATCGCAAGCATCCTCACTAAATCAAGTCATGTATGTTACCTTCTATTAGCCTCATGGATTACCATTAGCCTTTTACAATGCATTTAGATATCCCCTAAGGTCTTATATCAACTGGAACCTTTCCTATATTGTACCATTTCTGTAACACCTCGGATACGGAAAAGATAAAATTTAGTCCTTAAGAAAATATGGTGCCAAAACTGATGGACGCCACTAACGATCCGTCATCTGACACACGAACCGTGGGCAGACTCATGGTTAGCCAGTCTAGTTTTCCTAAAATGTCAAGTCTGAGTACTTTTTCAATGGTTCACTAGGACGGTCCGTTATCCAATCCGAAAGTCATAGCCCGAAGATAGGTATCATAGGTGATTCTCAGACATAATAGATTTTTAAAGTAAATATCGACTAAACCACGGAGACCAGGCACGGTCCCTCATTTGATCAACGGGCTCTACATGGGTCCCGACATCTGATTGCCCAGAGATCAAGTCTCTCAAACCATCGATGGTAGACCAGGACGGCTGACCGTAGTTCGCCACCGTCGATCATGTCAACAATTATTTTAAGAAGGGATATTGGGTATTTTCCTAATTATTCTAGCCTAATACTATGTGGCTTTTCCTTCACCTACAAACTTATATAAATGTTTAAACCCCTAAAATATCCCCAATTTCAATCATTCTTTCAAATTCCTAAATGAAGAACAAGTCTTCCTCTCAAATATTTCGTTCTCTAGAAGTTGAAGAAGAAAACTAGGGTTAGCAACTCAAGTCTCCAATTCAACCATTGAAGTCAAGATTTTGGTATCGAGGTATGATAGTTTTCATCCATGGAGTCGTTTCCTCCATAGAGTTCCTAAATTCTCCAATTTACAAAGCTAGAATTCCCCAATTAAGTTAGAGTTTTATTCTATGTCTCGAGTTCTTTTCAATGTTGATTTACTTAATCATTTATAAACTTTTATACATGCATTAATACAATCTCATGATTTTAATATGAACCACCGATAAACCCATGTGTAATGATCGAGCTTTTTCGTTAGAGAAAAGTCAATGGATAACAATTTTGGGTCAAAAAACTTTTTTGTAGTAACTTGAAATTTCTCGACCTAGCTCAGATTTGGACAAAATTAGAATCATTAAGGTGTAGGAAAATCTTGTAGAAATTTGGTGATCTAATTATCAATTTTATTACATTAGTAGATAGATAAGTCGTTAAGGAAGTTGTACAACTTTATGAAATTGAATTTAGGCAAGTTAAACTCTCAGAATTGATCTTAGCGTGAATGAGTACTTTCTGAGTATCGTTGGTTGAAGGTATATTATGAAATGGGGGTATTATATTAATGAAAATAACTCATTATTTTGTGTAAGCCGCTTTGGCGGTGATGTTGGTCACCAGGGTAGGGCTGCTGCAGCAGGGTGATGGCCGCTGTGGCGGAGTAGACACGATTTAAAGTTGTAAATAAACTCCCAAAACATTATATTCTCCAATTTTCAAACTTGAGATCTAAAGAACGAATCCATGACTTTACTTGATAGATTTCCACCACTCTTGAGACTAAAGGTAAGAGTTTAACTCTCTAAATCCATTTTTTGATTCGTAGAACGTAATCTAATGTGTAATTATCAACGGAGGAGGGTTTTGACCAATAATTTACGGTGGAAACAACCCTAATTGGGATCACGGGTTGATCTATTATGATTGTTTGTAGATCAAGAGAAACTGAAATTAATGCAGAAAGGAAGGATCAAGTTTCTTAAGATATCGAGTGTGTTTCGAGGTAGGTGATGATTATGATTCTACGATTGTGTGTATTATGTTTATTTTTTCTTCAATATGATGCATGTATGTATGTGAATGTTGCATTATTGATCACACTTGTAGTAAACGACATAGATGAATGATGAATGTCATGAATCATGACTTGATTATATGATCTTGAGAATATACTTGTGATTGTGATTGTGGCTTGTTGAATGGATCGGGTGTTGCGTTCCTACACACTAACTTGAATTGGTTACCACGTTCCAGCATAATTATGGGATCGGTTGTAATGTTCCTACATAAACATTGCATCAGGTACCATGTTCCGGTATGCTAACAATTTGGGTTTGGGTTCCATGAGAGTACCAACTTCTTGATATAACCGTGATATTTGAGAATGTGAAATTCTACGTTGTTCATAAATGATGATGATATTGTATATGTTCGTGTATGCATGTTATTAGTATGTTGTATTGACTTACTTATTTTGAACTAAATGGGATAGCCGCATGATCCTACAAGTATAATATGGTTGTGTACTCATAATGCACTTGTTCTTTTTTTGTTTGAGTACAAGACATCTTCACGCGGCTATTGACAGACCTCAGCAAGAAGATCAGTGATCACTTTAAATTCAAGAGTGAGCCAGTTCTTTCGGATTTCTATGAATTATTTTTTCGTTTACATCCACATCCCGGACTTATACTTTTTAGTTAGTTATTAATTTATTAGTTAGGGTTGTAACTCTTTTTGTTTAGACTTGTTGAACTTTAAATGTTTTGGTACATTGACTTTCAGGTTCTAGGCGTGTTACTTCCGCATTCTTAGTTGTTAGATCTTTTGGAACTTTATAGGAACTTTAGGTTTAGCTATTATTCCTGTTTCCGTATCCTTAATTGCTTTAGTTTTTGGTTTAGTTTCTTAGGTTGAGTTGTAGTATTAGTTCTCCCACCGGAGGGTACTAAGGTGTCAATAACGATGGTTTGGATTGTGACACCATGTCTAACCCATGTTTTCTAGATATTGATGATTAAAAGGGAGTTTTGAACTGTGAAAGGTGAATTATGAAATTATACATGTTCTTATGAAATTGATGAATATGGTGTAGATTTCTTGGAAATAATAGCATATATGTTGTTATTGTAGTTAATTATTATGAAAGGGTTGCTCACATAACTATTTTATGCTTGGATGTGAAATTTTTTCTAAGATAAAGAATTCTAAGGTTGAAAGATTTTATCACCTACAATAAATTAAAGTAAGGAGCTATTCTAAGAATGAGACAAGCGACGATTACACATGACCTCTACAGAAAGACAAGATATGATTACCCATGTCACATGATGTAATAAGGACAAGAGGCGATTACCCATGTTCTTTTAAAAGATAAAATGAATATGACTAAGAACTATTCCATGGAAGTTAATCTTAGTATCAAGTGGAAAAATGGCGATTGCCCATGTCCCATAACTATGTGTCGAACATAGGATTGTCTAGCTAAGCATTAGTTAGTGTATCCACATAAGCTGTAATTCATTGTCCTTCCCTTGGCAAGTGGGACAATCCTTTTCGGTGTAGGAGACACCGGATTCCATGTTAATAGCTCACATGGTCCTATATGTCGGTTAAGGCTACTTCCCACAAGCAAGCTATGATGGATTAATGTTACTTCAAGAAGTATCTCTTATGTATTTTAAGATGATGATTATGGACATTGACCATGTTTTATGATTCATGTATTTAACCTCTTATTCACGTTTTAGCTTCATCATTTTGCATACCTTGAACAATTTCTCTCTCTTTAAGTATGTTTTCAAATGTTTTATGCATGACAATCACACTTGTACTAACACATACTTTTTCCTACATTTTCCCCAAATGTAGGGTCCGACCT